CACTGCTCGGTCTAACAGAGCACCCACTGCTCGGTCTAACAGAGCACCCACTGCTCGGTCTAACAGAGCACCCACTGCTCGGTCTAACAGAGCACCCACTGCTCGGTCTAACAGAGCACCCACTGCTCGGTCTAAACGAAATTCATTAAAGTATAATCACGCGTACATTTTCAAACTCATGTAACCAATCCGTGTGATGCGTTAAGGGATATTGATCTTGATCATGGGAGTGAACAACATGTTTGCAGATTCGAAGACCAGGAAAGGAACATTTTAAATAAAGTAAATTAAATGTAAAAAATAACTATAACTTAACGATGTTAAGGTTTCTTAACTACTTTCTGACCTTCAATTCATTTGTTTTTGTTCATGACATTCTTATATGGTGCACTATATTTCATCGTAGAGTTCGGGAGCAGCTTACCGCCCTTTTTTACACCCATCACTGGTATGCCACTCAATTTTTTTTATTTTTTTTTTGCTGTCATCCGTCCGTCACAGTGTGGCGACGGTGTGGGCTTCGGAGGAAGACATCCACGAGGCCTCAGATTATCCTTCAGGGATCATAAGCTGTTGCCCAACAGCAAATCACCTCTCTTCACGATGATACAGCTTGGCTCCAGTGACGCCGCGGGAGTTTCCAAAATGTTTCATTCTTACAATGTTATCCGCCTTTCGGGACTCCATCTCTGGATTTTGATTCAGAGTTTCCTTCTCTTAGATGAGTTGCCAACCAAGGTTAACGAGTCCCATCCACCCGGGGTCCTGGTGGTGTTTTTTCTTGACTGGGCACTGGCTGGAATTGAACTCCAGGCCATCAACTAGACCACTCGGCCACCCAGCACCCACGCCACTCAATAAATCTAAAATATGTATGTGTCTATTTGGCCGTTGCGAGTAGAAATATTAATACTGTCAAGCTTGATACTGTACGAACATTTGTGGTGAACAGATGAAGATAGGCAAAGATGAGAAAAACTGTTCACTTGATCGCCCTAAAGTTTTTTTTTTTTAAACAACTAACTTCACCTTCATAACTACTGCTCAGACTGAACTTGCCTTCCATCCATAGCCAACCACGCCTTCGTAACCACTGCTCAGGCCGATGTGCCCAGCAGTCGATGCTTAACCCTGTACCGGCCAACACAGTTACTGCCCATTGAGCTAGACCATCAGTTATAACTTGTTTCAATCACAATAAGCCAGACGGTCATTAGTTGACAGAAAGAAAGAAATAGGATTACATTTCAGGAACATTAGTCGACATATCTGGTGCAGGAATTCATAGTTACGCTAACAAACTCCTTCTTTAAAAAAGAAGAACTAATAGCTACAAAAAAAAATAGATAAACATAACTAGTATGGCACTAAAGGATTATGAAATTGTATGTGGTTTGTTTTCAGTGTAATATTTAAGGTTTTTTCAACTAATTAATCATATTTATGTAATTTAAAGGTATTTCTATCACAGTTAATGATAATACAATGTGTCAAAAAATGTACAACGATGAATAGGAATTCACACATATAAGCAAACTAAACTCTAGCAAGAACAACACACTCTAAAAGTATCTGTCGTCTCGTGCAGAAATGCTCTGTGAATCTCCCATTTATAGTCTATTCTACTATTTTACAAAATCTGATAGATACAGACTATTAATTTTATTTAGGTCAAGAGACTATTTTTTAAGGTAGCCACATCTGAAATGTGGTTTTGAGCTTGTTTGTTGGCTGCTAGAGTTCACAGCACGGGGAAATATTAAGTAAACACGTCGTCTATATAATAGTATTATTATTATCATTATTATTTTTAAGTTCGGTTTATATAATGCAGTACCCTATCGCTGTATGAGAAGTGGATATGCAACGGGGCGTCACACTCTTTTCTAATGCTTGCACAAGCTTCGGGCTCACAATAAGCACAAAAAACCTGAGGTCCTATAAAATTTCAGATCCTCCAAGACCTTATGCTGAGCCCAACATCCAAATATATGGCAAAAGACTTAATTCGGTGAATATCTTTACTTATCTTGGCAGCACACTTTCCCAAAGCACAACCATCGATGACGAGGGTAACCTCCGTAATGCGAGAGCCAGTGCAACCCATGGTACATTATCTAAGAACATATGGACCAAGAGACGTATCGGCACTCAAAATAAACTGAAAGTATATCAGGCTGATGTTCTCCTTACGCTTCCCTATGCCTGTGAAACATGGAAGGTCTACCAACGCCATGCAAGAACGCTGAACCACTTTCATACAACAAGGCTCAGAAAAATCCTCAAAATGAAATGGCAGGACAGAGTCTCAGACACTTAGGTGCTCACACAGCCAGGTCTCCCCAGCAACTTTACCATCTTCATGACATGTTTTGAGAATGTCAGACGACCGTCTGCCTAAAAGAATTTTATATGTTGAGCTCGAACAAGGAAAGCGGTCTGCTGGCGAAAGGAAGAAACATTTTAAAGACAATCTAAAGCCTTACTGAAAGCGTTCGACATAAACCCAAACACGTGGGAATGAAAAGCAAAGGATCGAAC